TCGTCCATCCAATCTGGCAACACTGTCAATGAAGCCTATGACCAATCAGTTCCAAAAAGAACAAAACCTCTGCTAATTGAAAGAAAACAGGTTGACAAAAACTTGATTCCAAGATCTGGTCATAATATAGCATAATGCGGGATTTACAAGCAATTTTTAAAAAGCTGATTTTCAGCACAGCACAAGAGATATTATATAACTGACAAATAGGGAAATACTTCTGTTAATTGATAAAGGGGTCTAATTTACAGTTCACAAAGTGCCTTAAGAATTTAACTGTACAGAAAATATAACCTTTGAAGGCCACATATCTCTGTACAAGACTAGATTTCAGAAGAATGAAGCATTGCTTTGGCTCTACAGTCTAGAGACCCGCACTGCAGGAACCACGGGACCCAACGCAACAGGGTGCGGCGCGGGACAACTCTTGATGGGCGAGTGCGGGGGGGAAGAGTTTTTGCATTTAAATTGGATTATTCTGACTGCTGACATTGAAAATGATGCATGTGTTGTTTCAAGGGGATCGGTTAATTTCTTGATTGCCGTTTTGACAGTGTCTGCTTGCATATTTTATTCATGTTCGGTAGCCTAATTCTCTTTAATGTAGGCTATTTGCCCCAATTTGATCCGTTTAACTGGGAAATGTATCTAACGTTATATTTATATTATTTTGTCGTCATTATTTTGTTTTAAGGAGTTAAAAATGGCCCTTATCAACCTTGATTTACATATTCAATCACATTATTTTGACAGTTAAAGTTTTGAGCGGGTTTTTGTGAGCTTTTGGCCTGGAAATCGTCCATCCAATCTGGCAACACTGTCAATGAAGCCTATGACCAATCAGTTCCAAAAAGAACAAAACCTCTGCTAATTGAAAGAAAACAGGTTGACAAAAACTTGATTCCAAGATCTGGTCATAATATAGCATAATGCGGGATTTACAAGCAATTTTTAAAAAGCTGATTTTCAGCACAGCACAAGAGATATTATATAACTGACAAATAGGGAAATACTTCTGTTAATTGATAAAGGGGTCTAATTTACAGTTCACAAAGTGCCTTAAGAATTTAACTGTACAGAAAATATAACCTTTGAAGGCCACATATCTCTGTACAAGACTAGATTTCAGAAGAATGAAGCATTGCTTTGGCTCTACAGTCTAGAGACCCGCACTGCAGGAACCACGGGACCCAACGCAACAGGGTGCGGCGCGGGACAACTCTTGATGGGCGAGTGCGGGTGGGAAGAGACTCGTGTGTATGCGGGATGCAGGAGAATAAAATGATTCGCAGGACTCCCGCAAAATAGAAATTATCTAAACATAAAATGTCTAAAACATAAATTGTTATTTATGTGTTGCACAAAAGCAAAAAGAACAACTAAAAACATTAAAATTATTAACACGCGCAAGCTAGGCAGAGTTTCTATTTATAACACGTGTTTTTAAAGGGTTGCGCAATGTAGCCAATAACAGACTGAGCTGTTGATTTCTGGAACGCAACGGCCAACCAGAGGTGATTAAGTTAGAATCCTCTCACCGCAGTGCTGAAATTGTGTGCTCACGAATCATCTCATTTTAACACGAAGTGTAGACATTGTGAAAGATTCATTATGCATATGTTCATTGTATTATAATAGAGCTTTATGAGATTGCGATGAACGGAGATGTCAGCTTTTAGTGATAATAAAGTAAGCGCTGCTCGCATTCTGCCATGCCAAACCATGCACGCAGCAGCCCATGCTTGCTTTTCTGTTAAAATAACAGTGGTTTGTGAATGTTGATGCTTAGCATAAATAACAAATATTTTAACGGAAGCATTTATGCTGGGATGTTGTGGATCTTAGAAGATGTTACAGAACCATTTAATGTAATTTCTTTGATATGCTGAAAGAAAATCTATATAGATTACTTTTATGCGGGCTTTTGTGGGCGGGAGTGGGACAAAACATGAATGTCACGGGCGGGAGCGGGCAGGTGCGGGACAGAATCTTGCGGGAGCGGGACAGAAAAGACAGAATCTTGCGGGAGCGGGACAGAAAAATCTGTCCCGCGCAGGTCTCTACTACAGTCCTTCTGACATAAATATCACTAAAGCAGCCATAATGTTGGGTTAGTTAAGGGCCAGAGGCCGGTAGTTATCACCTTTAAGCTCTTTATCATTCAATATCATACTACACGCTTGCACAGATCAAACTGCATATTTGCTTGTCCTCTTATGATGCAAGAACAGTGCAACTACAACTCTGAATATGCAATTTTAGAGTACTACAAAAGGTGCTGGGCAACGGCAGATATTAATTTCTGCCATCCGGGGTGGGGGTGGTGGCCACGGGTCTCTAATGACTTATTTAATATTGTAAGAGAAATGACCCTGGTACCAAGGAGCGCTACGTCTCTTCAGCCTGAAAACAGAAACAATGGACCCAACTTAATTGTGACATTACAAGTGGTGGCACAGAGAGGAACAGAGGGGGTTTGATTAAAAGGAGAAGAGGTGGATGACTTTGTGAAAAGGTCATTGCACACTTACCTGGACTTCTCAACTCCCCCTCTTTCTGAACAAAAAAGAATAGAAAAACTCTCCCATGTGATTAGAGACGACTTCCAATATTTTCAGCAATGCCATTAGTGAAATAAGATGGTAATTTTCTGGAAGGCGGTATCTGGGCAGAAAATGACAGAAGGAAGTGAGGGGGCGGCAGCAGGTTGTCGGTGGGAACAGAAGGCAGCACAGGTGGGGTGGTGTTGAGGTTAATTGAGAGGTTAACAGGGACAAAGGTTTGTCAAAGGTCAGGGAAGACCACCAGCCAGTGGAAAGGCTCCGGTTTCTCCTGACTTGTGCAATGCGGGTGGCCATGTTCCTGATGTAGCGGCACAATCCCTATTTCTTTAGTGAATGAGTTTTATTAAAAGGCAGATTTTAGTCATTAGAATCCAAGGTGGCTAATGACCAATATAATAAAATGTTGAATATATATACTGTTCAGACATTTGGGGTCATTAGGATATATATATATATTTATTTTTTAGAAATTAAAACTTTTATTCTGTAAGGATGCATTAACTTGATTAAAAGTTACAATAAAGATTTAAAAGATAAAATAAAGAAGATTATAAAAATTCTATATCAATTGAATGTTTTTTTACTTTCAATTCATCAAATGATCCTGAAAAAGCATCATATTTTCCACAAACAAATTAAGTAGAACAACTGTTTTCAACATTGATAATAATAAGAAATGTTGGATCATGTGACACTGAAGCTAAAAATTCAGCTTTGTCATCACAGGAATAAATTACATTTTAAAATACATTCAAACACAAAACAGTTTAAATTGTATAATGATAATTCAGAATATTATTGTTCACCGACCCCAAACGTTTGAACAGTAGCTTTAATATAATTTGATTTCCATATTTGTCTATATATAAACATACAAACAAGTTCAATCATAGCAAATGGGCAATACAGAAAATGTTTTAAATAAAAGGAATAGTTCACCTAAAAATAAAAATTTGCTGAAAATGTATTCAAGTTGAGGCCAATTTTCATTTTGGGGTTAACTATTCTTTTAATTTAACAAATATTCTTCACTTTTTTATGAAAAATTTACTCATTAATACTTCAAACTTAACCAAAAAAAGATTTCAAAACAAAATATGTGCATTATGCATTGCAAAAGATGTTACGGTATGTATATTACAGTATGTAACAGACAAAGGGGGAAACACTTCTGTTAATTGACAAAGGAGCAAAGTCATGCCTTTTGGAAACATAATCAACCACCTTCTAAAACGCCTCAGACAATTTAATAGACTGTACCACTCCTCTAACCTTTAATTCAGCGTGACGTACCGTCCTGAATCTATCACAAACCTTTAAAATCTCTCTGGAGACATTACAATTTGATCCGCTGACTATGATGCTAACAATACACATTATATCCATCTCTGAACCTTGTACAGGTGAGTCAATTACCACATGCCTTAATGTGATGGGAAACAGCCCAGCTGCACTGATGCATGACATGCACCTGATAAACATTCAGACCACGGGCAGCTTTTTGAGAAAAAACGTGTAGCCCATTTTCAATGAATAATCACACAATTCTGCATCACAAGCAGGTACAGACATCTTAGTCTCCAGTTTAACATTTTATTTTTAGAAAATTGCAATGTTGATGGTCCATTAACAAAACAACCCTTGGTACATACTGAAAACAATTAAAAAGTGAGGACAAAGAGGAAAAACACAGAAACATCAAAATGGGCTGAATACAGTATGAATACAGATAAAAAATGCTAAGCTCTATTCACATTCTTTTAAAAAATAAGTTTCATAATTATGGCACCTGAATTTTTAAATTCAGAAAAAATTCAGGAAAGCATGATTGTTGTTGTTTTTTTTAATAGACTATTACATTTTTTTCTGGTCGTCTGAAATTGCAATTAGCTACAGACGAGCATTAGAACACACAATTGTGTTGCAATTAAATTTAAATAATTGCCTACTTTCATTTTTATCAATAATTTTTTTATTAAATAGTTGTTTTGCTCTGAGCAGGGAGATTTTACATCAATTTATTTATGTCAATGTATATATTTTTGTACTGATATATTTATGTGCATTTTTCAAGTTCTCTTCAATATATATAATAAGAAATTCATTAAAATTAATTTGGAAATTAAAAGCTCAAGGAAATGACACGAGTTTTAGTTTGCTTACTTACTTATAGCATCTTAAATCAACTATACTTTTGCATATTTTCAGTGTAAAAGAGCCAGTCTACACTCTCAGAAAAAAAGGTACAAAAGCTGGCACTGGGGCGGTACCTTTTCAAAAGGTACACTTTTGTACCTTTTAGGTACTAATATGTACACTTTAGGTACTTATATGTACCGTTAAGGTACCAATATGGACTGTTTAGGTACAAAGGTGTGCCTTTTGAAAAGGTACCGCCCCAGTGACAGCTTTTGTACCTTTTTTTCTGAGAGTGTATGCAAGTTGTTTTTAAAGTGGGTCTCGTCAAAAGACACACAAGAACTAGTCTGATTCTGGAGAGGTAAAGTCTGTAGAGGTAAATTTGTTTGTTTTGAACCAAGTTCAGTTGAATGTTTCAGGTCAGTTCAGTCACACTGTGTTCTGAAGTGCAGTTTGGCAAATATGTCATAAGCAGTTTTGACCGAGATGAGTCAGACGAATCACAAACGCACGGCGTACCAAAGGCATTGCGCACTATGAACAAAAAACCAACTGTGTTAACGTTATGATGCTAACATTAGCTTACATAATGCCGACAAATGCCAGCTTTGTACAATTCACAAGAAGGCCTTAGGAAATGCAATCTGAACTACATGTATGATTTAACAGTCAAGGAAAAGAACACTTTGCAATAGTGTATTGAGCATTCACTTAAGTACTAAAGCAAAAAGGGGCTTTTATAGTGTATCTTTAGCAGAGGCTTAATATAGAAAAACAAAAAGTCAAGTTTACACGTAACTTGTAGAGTTACGAAACACTTGCATAAAGTGGATTTCGGCATTTGCATTCTACACTATTCTGTGCATCCAGTTCATCTGTGTCTTTAAAGCACCAGCAAGCTAACTGCTAATGTCGTTTCAAGAACTTAGGGACATTTAATTAAATGAGCTACAGTAGACAGTTTAAATAAAGACTTACAAAATTGGCATCATTTAAACAGCCCTCTCTGTTTTTCAGAAACAGTTCAAAATAAGAATCCCTCTTAACACCCACAAAGGCTTGACCTCTGACAGTGTGAAAGTGCCGCGTTTCCACTCAAATTACAGTGATGTGCAGCACAACCTCAAGTTGTGTGATGTCTACCGTTTTAATTTCAACATCTGCAAGTTTTTAAAATTATAAAGTGTGAAGTGTCTTTAAAAACAAAATGTCAAAAACCTCTGCAAAGAGATGTAAAAACAGTAAATAGAACAAGCTCTGATACATTAAAGCATTTAATATAAAGCACTGAATATCTGTCTTTATGCACTTTTAGTCTACGAGGATACGTGAAGTATGTCATGTATTTTAGTCCTTTCTTATGACCTTTATGGTCATCTTGAGCTGAGGAACAGATTTTTCACAAGTGTGAAAAGAACACACTCCATAGCTCTCATTCACACATACTCACACATACACAGACACACACTCTCTCGCTCAACATCTGTCCTGGCTGTGGCCTGCATGTATCAGGGCTTTTATGTTGGGAAACAGATCCCGCAGCACTCCATGCAGATCTCCAGGCAGTCCGAGGACTCACAGCACGCATCCATAATGCCACAGTCCATGTCACAAGGGCAGTTGCAGTCGTCTCCCAGGTCGTCTGCGCAGCAGCAGCAGCAACAGGCTTCTGATGTGCAGGTGCCGCACGAGGCCTGAGCCACCACCATATTGCACAGAGTGAGAAATTCACAAAACAGGCAGGCCAGGATGCAGTGGACACAGCAGTCTGCTCTCAGAGTATTGCAGTGGGCAGAACAGAAAAAAAGCATTGAATAAACATACAAAATTATTATTTTTTTAGTATTTAATGTAGCGTTCTACATTTCATGTGATCATTTTTTCTATGTATTTTGGTCTTGCCAGTGGTGCAAAAACTACAAACTTCACCTTTATAATCAAATTAACAAAAATTAGCCTTAATATTAAATCATTTAAAACGGTATATATATATATATATATATATATATATTTAATTTTATTTTATTTTATTTATTTTTTTTTTAAAGCAAATTTTTATTTAAGTTTTTTTATCATAATATGGGGTAAAAAAAAGCTTTCT